TGCCGTGGCGGGCGCGCGCCCCCCCCCACGCCCCCCACCCCCCCCCCCCCCCCCCTAGAGAGAGTTTAGAAAAATCCATTTCTTTATCCAAATATGTATCAATGTTTGCTATTTCACATTTTAACATATAAGCGTATTTTTGTAGAACATACGTGCTTTTGAATAAAATAAAATAAAGCATAATACATGTAGATACCAGTTTCAATGAGGTTTTACAGGTTACGAGTAGCTTCTTTCAGCTTTATTCGAGACTGCATTATACCGTTTTTATCAGGATACAGCGATCTGTGTTGTTATGAGGGCAGAATGAAGATTGATTACGTTTTAGTATGATTATATTGATAATTTTACGAATATTTAGATCTTTCCTTGTTTATCAAGTATCTTAAATAAATTATAATTTACAATTATATAGTTATATAATATACAAATGTATAAAATATAATATTCAACATTATAAAATAAAACATATAAATATAAATATATAACAATATATATTATCACTGTGGTCTCGAAGGTAGTAAATTCTCCAGAGTTGAAAATTGTGTTCCAATGTGGGAATAAACTTCCGACTGAACTTTCTTCTATTTATTGTTCTTCTTTGTTCCCTTTTCTTTCCAAAATTAGTGTGCTGTCACGGACGAAGAAAATTAAATTTACACGTCCGAATGTCATTATCTTGTCCATATCAGCGTCCAAATTTTAAAAGGAAGAGAAGAATAAAGAAAGAAAGAAAAAGAAGAAAGTTCAAACAGAATTTTATTCTAACATTAGAAGAAAAATTTCAACTCTGAAGAACTTATTACATTCCAAACGTCACTTATAACATATATTTTGATATATTTACGTTTCCATTTCCATTTCCATCTATTTTGCATTTTTTTATTTCATTTCTATACAATTGTAAATTATAATTTATACCACATATATGATCTATCAAGGAAGAGCTAAATAATTTTCAAATGATGAGAATGAAAAGAATTTCTCAATCATCAAACAGTAAATTACAAAAGCAGTTCATTTTTTTCGAAAGAATAAACAAAACACACGTAGCTGCTAATATCAAAACTTTATACAATTGAATCGAATTGATTTCCAAAAAACAAAGTCATGCAACAGCAAAAGCGTCCCGGCAAAAGCATCAAGTCATATTTTCCAGTGAAGAAACCAAGAGCTGAATCCCCTTCAACACCAACCCTTGTCCTCTTGTCTACTACTATTGATACATCTACACATACTTCTGCATTACTAGTGATCAACTCATCAACACAATCAGATACATCATCAACAGTAACATTACCAGCATCAACACAATTAGCAACATTATCAACATCACCAACACAATCAGCAACATTGCCAACATCTCCACAATCAGCTACATCATCAACAGCAACATTAGCAATATTACCAACATCAACACAATCAGCAACATCATCAACATCTTCACAATCAGCTACATCATCAACAGCAATATTACCAACACAATCAGCAACATCACCGACAGACATTAGTCATTCTAAGAATGAGCCACCTAGTCAGCCAGTATTATCTTCTTATGTACAAAACAGTGATAAAAGGTCATTTCAATCTCAATGGTTTAAAGATCGTCCTTGGTTGGAGTTTTCAGTTATACAAAATAAAGCATATTGTTACTATTGTCGACATTATGGAACATCGAAATTAACGACTAAAAGTCAATGTAATGCTTTTTTAAAAGGGTTTTACAATTGGAGGAAGGCATTAGATTCAAAAAGTGGTTTCAAACAACATGAATCAAGTGAAGGTCATTTACAAGCAACAACAAATTATCAAGAATATCTGTTACGTTTTAATACACAAACATGCGTCATTAACGTATTATATACCGGTAGATCTCAACAGATTAAACGAAATCGTGATCGAATATCAAAAATTGCATCAGCGTTTTTTATTGTGTGCCAGACAAATGATAGCATTAAGAGGTCATGGTGAAAATGAAACGTGAGTAAGAAAAAAAAAGTATCTTTCAGATTTTTCATACTACTTTTTAAAATTATTTTAGATCGAATAATCGTGGTAATTTATTGGAAATTCTTTCGTGGTCATCAGAAACAGATCCAACAGTAAAATCTATAATGGAGAGTTCTAACAATGCCACTTACTTGTCGCATCAGGTTCAAAACGAATGACTTGAAATAATGGCAAATCAAGTTCGACGTAAAATAGCTGAAAAAGTAAGCGCTGTGCGTGACAAGTTTTCGAAATGCTAAAATATCGATGGCATTGCTTTCTGTAAATTCTTAGATTTCTGGTAATTTTTATTCACTAATGGCTGATGAGTCAAAGGATATAAGTGGAAATGCCCAATTATCAATTGTGATCCGAGTCGTGTCAAGTCCAACCGATGTATTGTCGAGTAAAAATGAAAAAATACAAGAGTATTTTTTAGGTTTTATTAGATTGCAACAGTTTGATGCAGTCACATTATCAGATGCTATTGTTCAATTTTTAAATTTACACAAAATTGATCTTAAAAAGTGTATTGCCATGTGCTTTGATGGGTGAGCTAGATTATTAGATTATGGATCCTTTACTGAACAAGAACATTTTTTGTTTCTAGAGCATCAGTTATGAGCGGATGCCATGCAGGCGTTCAAACTATTCTTCGTGATAATTTTATGCCGAAAGGCATATAAATATACTGTTTTGCTCACAAATTGAATCTCGTTATTATTCATGTATGTCAAGTTGTTACGTACTGTGCGGAATTTTATTCTATCATATCGAAAATCACTACGTACTTTACCGCATCTGGTGTAACAAATATATATTTTAAAAATGCTCAACAATTATTAGAGCTTGGTAAGCAATATCAGCACTTCTTCTTGAAAGATTATCATCACTTTCTTTTTTTCATATTAGACGAAACAACAAAACTTAAAAAATGGTCAAGTATAAGGTGGGATAGTAGATGGTCATCAATAGATTCCATTATCAAAAATTATCGAGCAATTCTTAAAGCACTAAACGATTTAATCGACGATGGTGATGCAAGATCTGCTGATGCAAATGGTTTATTGATTGCTTTTAAAGAGCCATTGTTTATTATTACTTTATTTGTTATACATAAAATACTTGGACCTATTAAAATCTTATCAAATCAATTACAAGGTATTTATTTAAGATAGCATAAATTTCATAAGACAAATACATTTATACCATTGTTCTCTCTATTCTGTTCAGATGAATCATTAGATTTTGGAGCAGCACGAGAATTGATCTCATCTATTATTGAGCAAATGAAAAGCTATCGCAATAATAGCTCATTCGAATCATTATATAGTAAAGTAGCACAATTCTGTACTGAAAACCAAATTGACATTAGTCAAAAGCCACGGCAAAGACGGCAAAAGAAAGTGCCAGCGCATTTCAATGATTGTATTGCTACATTAATAAATGGTCATCGGGACTATGCTGATAATGAAGAACAATATCGTACAACGATTTATTATTCATTAATTGATAGTGTTTTAATCGAACTAAATCATCGTTTTTCAAGTGAAACTATGAAAATTTTAATTAGTATATCATCTCTATGTCCTAAAAATGAAAAATTCTTAGATTTTGAAATACTCAAACCATTTGCATTAAATTTGGATATAAATCCTGATATGCTGAAAAATGAATTAAACGTTTTACGACCAATGTTGAAGAATAAAAGGTTATTGGATCTCAAAGAGTTATATTGTGAATTAATTCCATTCGTACGAGCTTTTCCAAATGTTGTTTTAATGGTAAAAGGGGCAATGACAATACCTGTCACATCAGCAACATGTGAAAGGTCTTTTTCGAAAATGAAAGCAATTAAGACTGCTCTCAGGAACACTATGAGCGACGAACGTCTAAGTGACTTATGTATACTATCAATAGAGCGAGATTTCAAAATTGATTTTGACAGCGTGGTTGAAGATTTTTCGTCCAATCATAAAAACAGAAGAATTATGTTAAAATAAAAAATTGAACATTTTTGTTTTTTATGTATTGTAGCTGTTTGAATGAAATAAAAAATTGAACATTTTTGTTTTCCTTGTTCGTTCAGCTTATATTCTGAGGAAAGCATCACCAAAAAGAACTATTCACTCTATATCGAGATAATACAAGAAATTCATATTCCTAATACGAGTCAAAAAGATTTTCGGGGGCTGAGCCCACCCCCCCCCCCCACCCCACCCCCCACACAACCAGAGACCCCGCCCGTGGGCTAACGGACNAAAAATTTATAGCACTTTTCAGCGCTTTTCATGATAAGCGCTTTCAAGCGCTTATAAAAGCTCATTCTAAGCTGTATTAAGCGGCTTAGTTGATTAAAGCCGCTTTCAGCAGCCGAAGACCGCAATGTTTAAGCGCTTTAAAGCACTTAACTACAGTGTAAGCTTATTTAAGCCGCTTGAAAAGAGCTTACAAAGGCAAAATTTTTCACATGGGTCTCCACCTTCAGTTTACATACCGATCAGCTTACTCGGCTGGATGTGTCATGTTATTAGATATAGTTTCAACCTTCAATATCTTCATTTCTATCTTAAATGTTACAATGTATTTGAATTTTTTTCAACATAATTATTTTGAGAAAAAATTAAAAACAAAATATTTCTTTCTAAATACTCACTTCAATTGAACGAATTCAACTATATCGTGTTTGACTTCAAATTTGATTTAATAAATATTTTTTTAACCTTTTTTTAACGAATAAATGGAATGCACAACAGTTTTTGCCGAAAGATTTTACTCCAAAAAATATAATTTTTTTAAAAATCTAGTACAATCAATCAACAGATGGGAATTCCCTAATTCACTAATTTTTCTAGTATTATTCAATATAAAATACGGCACATCATTAATTTTATATCGTGAATATCACATCAATTCCAATATACGTAGAATATATATTCTGAAAAGATTTCGAAAAAACTTTAAAAAATTATCATAATCTACTTAATTGCCTTTGCATAGATTTAAATCATGATCACAATAAAAACGTAGTAAATCTTGAAAAACCATCGAATTTGTAGAGAACTCATTCAATTTTGATACTGAAATTCTGTTGTGATTTTAAGATGTACAGATCTTGGACTGATCCTGGACAAGAGGCAGATGAAATCTTTTCATACATTCTTCCCAGGATTCTGAACAGAATCAGTTATAAGTCTTGGTAGAATCCTGAATATCAAATTCTGAATACACTTCAAACGCAAGTCTGCAAAGAGCTTAATGAGATCCTTGTACTTTCACCTCAGAATTTTAATCACACTTGCACTTCTTTTTAAGGATCCAAAACACTTCTTCTTGAACAGATCCTTGTAGAATCCTAGAAAAACTTAGAAAAGGTCAACATAAAAAAAAGAAATCGAAATCGGGGCAGGATCTTGGACATATCTTGAGTAAAACCTGACTAAATCCTGACCGAAACCTTTTTATAATTCTTGTCAGAATTCTGAAAAGAAGCCAGAGTAAATCCTGGCAGGATCCTGAATTCTCAGTTCACAAAAAGATCTGAGCAGGAACTTGAAGATATCCTTAATCCATCTTGGCAGAAATCATTACATTTATGACACTGGAAGTTTTCTTCAGAAATGAACAGTACTAAGTAGCGTGAACAGTGAGTTGCAAAGGTGCTAAGGAAATCCTCATGATTTCTTTTCAGGATCATAATTAGAATTCGCATCGTCTTACAAGCTAGGAAAAGTTCATTCTTGAACAGTTCCAGACAGGATCCTGGTGGAAGTTTGGCAGAATTAGCCAGTTTCTGAACATAACTGATCTTGTCATTTTCTTGTCAAGATCCACGTCAGGATATACTTCTACATTCTGACAGGATACTGAGACGAAGATTTGATTTAAATCCTGGTGGAAACCTATTAAAATCTTGCCAGAATCCTCTTTTATAATCCTGTCAGGATCCGTAGCAGGATCGACAATGAATCCTGGTAGGATCCTGGATTTTCTATTCAGAAAAAAATCGTACCAGGATCCTAAACAAGTCCTAAACAGGATCCTGCTTAACCTTAAAGAATCCTGGCAACAGGAATTGTTAGGATTTGAGACAGGATGCTGAATGAAACTTGCCAAGATCCTTGAGATTCAGGATCCTGAAAGTCCTTCCAGGCTTTCTCAAGGAATGAACAGGATTGCGACTAGAGTATTTACAGAATCCAATGGGTGAACATCAGCATATGTTTAACTGGCAGAATGTGACTTTTGTAGAAATGTACACATTTCTTGCAATTACAATGCTAACCGGACTTATTGACAAAAAGCTTGTTAGCGCAGCTCCTGCGGAGCTGAAATGTGGAACTCACGTATACGTTTAGCTTTGTTACCTGACGCATCATCTGTATACTGAAAGACTTCTTGTCAACTATAGTTGTTTTCATTGAAAATCGATGAAAAGAGCGGGAATTTATTATTAATTTGTATATTAAAAAAATATATTAAAAAACGAAAATATTGTTTTTTCATTTAAGCGCGCTCGATTTCATTTATAATTATTGCTATACACTCGATAATAATCATTTTTTTTGTTTTTTAATTTGAAATTATTTTTCTCCACCGTGAACTATTTTATGAATAGAACTATTAGAATAATGTAGGTTATATGCATTAACAACTCTTACATTAGCTTATGTCTCAATTAATCCATAATGCCAATATTGTTTATTATTCACACTGATAAAAAGATCGAATGATACATCTCATATTAATTATATGACTGCTATAACAGATCACTATATATTATTACTTTGCCTCCTTGATTTTTAATACGCAAGCTCAAATTAAAAGAAAGATCCACGACTACATTATTACGAACTTTAACAAATATATAAGTTTTTTTAAATAAGTATGAAAGTATTGAGATATTATATAGCAGTCGAACTGATATTCTTAATATTGTTTAACTCGCTTCTTTTTATTGCTAAATAAATCTGCAGCGTTTTATGCGCGGTTGTTGCAGTCTGTAAGGTGGGGGGGGGGGGGAACTCTTGTATTTATTTTTTGTTTCCGCTTCCAGGTCGTCTGCGGGCTG